ACACTGCTGCTCGAACAAAAAATGAGTATTTGAATGCCCACAACATTAAAATAATGGGTCATTTGCCATATAAACCCGACCTAGTACCCAATGACTTTTTATTTTCGCAGGTAAAGTATAAATTACGGGATTTACATCGGCCGAAGAAGCGATTGATGCCTTTGAAAATAAAATTAACAACAAACTATGATCAGACAATTGGAGAACATGTTTTCAATGGTTTTTGTGGATGCAATAATACATTGATTGTAGAGGAGAAATTAAAAATAAATATTTTTTTTGTAAATAAAACTAAGTTTAACTTTACTAGGTTCAACGGAAAAAGATGACGCTTTGTCAGATCATAAAGCAGTAACAAAGAATACATACCCAAGAAGCGAAACTGAATGAGTTTTTCTATGTACCAAAGTAGCAGCGACCTTGACGTAAATGGGAACTTAATACACTGGGAAACGTATAATTCCAATCAATTTTTGTTGTTTGGTTCATGAGAATTAAACATATACTAAAGTTAAAATGACGGAAAATTCTTACTATGTTCAATAGATAATGTTAATAATAATAATAATAATAATTTTAGTAATAAGTACTGTAGGTAGCTGAGAATGTATTTTGATTGCATGATCCTGATAGCAGCGACTTGGTTCCTCAGAGTGAGTCTGTCATATATATTACTGTTTTAATCCTTACTATAAAATTGTTTATATGTATATTATTTAATGGATTAAATCGATCACAGTCCGTATGGTTTGAAAAACAAAATAGTGATTTAATTTTTGGAAATAGTCGAAAAATCTGGGGGTACTTTGTAGAAGGTTGTTTTTCTACTTTATGGAATATATCTGATATTTACGCTTGGAGAAGAAAATTCTTTATATAAAAATTGCTTGTAATGTTATTCTCTATAATTTTTGTCATTTAAAATGGTCCGTATTCGAGAAATTTGACAAAAAATGCAAGATTCTAATTTTTGGAATTGGAAAATGTATTTCTTATTTAGTTCATCCTTAGATTATTTTGATCAATAAGCAATAAGAAACATAGCAATAAAAAAATGTCTAGGCATCCTCAGACGTACCAAAAACCAGGATTGGCAGGTGGGTAATTTCACATTAAAGCGACATATACATGTCTTTCTAATTTTTTCAAATAAATAATTATTTTATATCTTTAAAATGATATCAGAAAGATACGAGAAATGAATTACTATCTTTAAAGAACAATAAGTTTTGTTTCCAAAGAAGCAAGATTATTTTGAAAAATTTCCCTGACACGTCCTCAAGCCATTCATATCTTAAAAACGGTCATATTATAAAAGTTATTTAAAATTACATTATCAACATTATAATACAGTTTTATCCAAGTATTTTCCATGTGCCAAGGCCCTTAAAAGCTCAAAAAAATTATTTATTTCGAAAATATAATAAATATTTAAATGGTCCTCAATGTCTTATGTAATTCAATTTGAGCTGTGTCCAGGCCGTTGGAGTATATGCCGGTCGGCGTAGCCAGGTATGGGTTAATGTTTTTTGGTGGCGGCGAAGCCACTTTACGACTTATCGTAGGGTGGCGGCTACGATAAGTCCTTGCTTTTTTTCTTGTTGCATATTTATGGACCGGTATGGGCAATCACAATTTTCCATTAACTACTAATTTTATCACAATCTGGCAACGTTGCAATTATATTTTCCAAATTTGACATTACGAGTGTGGAAAGTGACATTTTTCACACAAGTGGGAAATATTGTCGCACGAGGCACAAGCTGAGTGCGACTATCACACGAGTGTGGAAAATCACTTTTCACACAAATGATGTACAATATTTTTTCTACGACCACAAAATAATGACATCAAAAAATGTAAAATCAGGTTGTTATTATTACTATAATAATTAAAATGTATTTAAAAAAATAATCAACAATAATCGTATTTATTCAATTTTCACACTTTCTAAACAAAAAAAAATACTAAAAATAAAAAAAAACAAAAAAAAAATTCTGGCCCCGCCAAGATTTGAACGCGGTCGCTCGCCAAGTCTCAAATGGCAAAGTTAATAAGTTCGACGTTCTAACCATCTGAGCTAATAGCACTTACATCAATTGAATGATCTAATCGGTTATCCATTTAACCAGAATAAAAAGCAAACATATCTTAGTTATTTTAAAATTATTTTAATAATAATTGTTAAAGATAAATATCTAGGATCTAATTTACAACAATTTCAATAATTTAACAATCATGTCGATTTTAGTATTAATATGGACATTACATAGATCAAAATAGAAATTATATGTTTAACATTTTCTGACAGCTACTGCGGAAAGTAGCATATTCGTACACGGGTGGAAAGTAAATTCTTATTCATACGCGTGTGATATAGGGCACTTTCCATAGTGTGATATGTGTCATTTTCCTAAGTGGTCGTAGGAAAATATCATAGCTTCGTTTGCATTTGGAGAATACTGTGGGTACAGCATTGTCAAATAATCGTCTTCTATAAGATGTACTGTTTGAAAAATATTTTTCTTCAAAATGTTGTTCACATATTCTATATGAAGATAAGCCACTAGGAACTGTGAAATTTAAATCTTCACGATTACAAGCTTTTAACCAGAGTTGAGCTCTACAAAATTATATTTATTAATACTTAATTTTTCTAAATAAATTTGAACAGTAACATTTCAATACATACCTTATGGCATCTCCTGGGAATTTAAACATTGTTAGCCCTTGTTCTGAAGTTGTAACACAACCACGAACAACGCAATGTATTTTTTTCATTGTAATAAAAACCTTTAAACTATTTAATATATAATTACTACTTTTAAATAAACCTACTGAAATTTTCTCAAAACGCTAAGAATAATATACCAAACGTCATACACTACATGAACTGACAACTATATTTGACGTTAAACTACCTCTAAAACACTGAGAAAACTTGGCAATTTTTTGTCCACGAATCGCCCATTTAGTGTCGCTTCTTGGGTAGGTATTCTTTGGCAGTAACAACTACGGACAGTCTTGACATATGGCGTTTTCGACTGGTGAAACTGGTGCGCACTTTTTAACACTCGGTGCAAAATTTGTTTTCGACTCGTAAGAGCAGTGCGAACCGGGTCAGTTTTTGAATTTTCGGTTGGAATCAGTTGAACTCAAAAAAATAAACCAGTGCGCACTTTTGTGAACCAAGTTTAGAGGCAGGTTTTCAGTTTCAGTTCAGTCGTAACTAATATGGCGATGGCAAATGAAGAGTTTTTTCTTAAATATGTAAATATTGGAAACTTCTTCGTCAGATTCAGAAGATTTAATTAAGGCCAAGTTTAATAAAACTAAACTGCCAAAAATAAAAGATTACATTAAATAGGTGGTGTCGCACCTGGATGACTCCCAGTTAGGAACCATAAATGTTCTTGCATATGCATAGTATACGTTGACATCTTAAAACCCCTTACCGCATACTAGCCCATATATGGCACAAAGGGTAATTAGTCTATTTATAAATGGTGTGTGTTTATAAACACACTCTGTGACGCACATATCATTACTTTGATAATCCATGGCATGGGTATAATAGCATGGATCGATATCTAGTGGATAAATGCGAAAGTTACAATACAATTTTTTAAAAGTGCACAACACCTGATGATCGTTTGAGAAATAGACATTTACATGTTGTGTATTATCGAAATTATCGAAGTTTATTCTTTGAAAAAATATTGTAAGTTGAAAGTGTGACTTTGGTGATAGATTCTTGAGGTGAGTTAGTGTTTTTTATATATTAGGTACTAGTTATTGCCAACATTTTCTCTGTGCCATATATGGCACAGTATGCTATTATGACATGAATATGACTGATCTAACACATTTTTTTGATTTGGTTTTTAGGTACATGATGGACCCAATATTATTTTATGCTGGATATAAGTCAACCAATGCTTAACTAAAGCAAATAAGTCCCTTACTAAACCAAGAGGTTGACCAAAACTACCAATTGAAGGTGAGCTACAGGTGAAAAAGCATCGTGGTTCAACCACAGATTTCCCAATTCAGGAAGTTAGAACCGATAAACTTGACCACTGGGTACATTGGAAAAATCAGAGACAAAGGTGCAAGTACACTGGATGTATTGGAAAAAATTATACAATTTGCGAAATGTGAAGCTTTTCTTTGTATAAACAAAGACCGAAATTGTTTTTATGCAAGTCTTAATCACATGCTGTGCCATAAATGGCACATACCCTTATTTTATGTCCATATCCTTTTAAAATGTAAATAAATTTTTTTTTCTATTTTTCCTAACGTATATATATATATATATATATATATATATATATATATATATATATATATATATATATATATATATATATATATTATTTCCCGTCTTAAATCTTTTTTCAAGCAAAAAAAACATGCGGTAAGGGGTTAAGAACTTAAAAATAAGTAAATTTATGGTAATCTGTTGATAAAAGTTTCTATAACAATATTAAATAAATGTCTAAAATGAAAGCTTGGCTTGGATCTTGTTTGCAATTTGGAAGGTACTACTTCTACTTATCACTCAGATGATAGCTGTCAAATACAACATAATGCACTGGGTGATCAACTGCGTGTTCGGTTGGAATAAGTTTGCATGACGTTACTAAATTGAACCAGTGCTGAAAAACGAAAACTCGCACTACACGAGTGTGAACTGAGTGTGACCAGTCGAAAACGCTAATAGATAGAAAATCATAAATAAATAGTATATAGAGTAATAAACGACCAAAGAAAGACTGCCTTTTATAATTTACCGCAGAAACAGATTGGACTTTTATTAAAAATCAAAACTTTTCAATTTGTGAAATTTTGAAATATTTATCAATAGGGAGCTTCTTTTTAGTGGTAACTAAAACCTTCAATGGTAATAAATAATAAGACTAACAAGAATATACCCAACCCGTCTATTCATGCGATGAAAGTAGAGGATCTAAACAATATAGTAAATTATATCAAACCTGAACTGATTTTTCCGGGAATTCGGCAAAATTGATAATTTTAGTCCATCTGGGATTTGTGTTCCTTATGTCATTGACATTGATAATAGCATTTACAGTCGCATTATTATTGCCTGAATCCTAAAATACAAAGTTTAAAATTAACTGATGTTATATTTAATTTTACATATTACGACGTTCTCTAATTTTAAAATCTTGCAAGAACTTTTACTAGAATTTACTAGTTGATAATCTTTGACAGATGTTTACACTGTGAGTCAATTAAAGTTCCTGTTATTTAAATAGATCACAATCTCAAGCTCCGTCAAAGTCTATCAGGCTCATACATTAGAATCAACTTTTTGCAACTTACCTACATACATCTGAGAGTAATCTCCGTTAATTAAAAACTAGACCTACATTGAGGTGATTACAGCGCCCTTTATAATTTTCGGAAAAGATATCTCAAAAAGTAATTTTGTTATAAAATTTAAATTTTGGCAAAATAATATCTAGAATATGCATATATTTTAAAGTTTTAGATCCTTCCAGTTTCTGAGAAAAAAAATCAAAGGTCTTTAAATTTTGAAATATCTTAATAAAAATAAATGCATTCCTCGACAGCACTATTCTTAATATAATCTCAAATTTAAGCTAATAATGTTTTGTTAATAATTTTTTTTAAATTCGCCGAAATTAGTGGCTAAAACGCCTCGTTAAGTGCTATCTTCTGGTGTAAACTGATGTAAATCGTTGCAATAAACGAATGATGACTGAGAGTTTACGATACAGAGATAACAAGAGGAGATGTAACTACAAACAAATATCGTGAGGTCCTGAATGAGACATAATCTAATTTTCGTTTTGTTTACAAAATTATTTACATATCTTAAAAACTCAAAAATTTTTGAATCATTAGTTATATCAAATTTAACTAAATTAGATGTAATCATGATTTTTAATAAATTCGAAAATTTGTTATGTTAAGTTTGATATCAAGTATTTTTCACGAAACGTGGCAACAATAAACAACAATAAACGTTGTTTATTATGATCTTACACAACGGCTTACAAAATATTCATTCATCATTTCATCAAGTTGTTTAGTTGTTAGAATAAACAGAATTTACTTATCATAGACGTACCAATTACGAAAAATATCTTATTATTTTTAAATAACTAGTATTATTAAGGTTTCGGATTAACTATGGCTATCCATCAGCCCTAACAAATCACAAGAAGATGGTCTTGGGTAATTTCTAAAAATCTCAAAGTATCTAGTTAATCTTATGTAAAAATCGAATTTGTGCAAAAAAATCTGCATTTTTTTATTAAACCTATTTAAAACACTTTAAAACAGATTTTAAACTGATTCAATTTAATTGAGCGTTGCCTTAAAGTTTCGGTAATGTTATTCGGCATAACTTTTGATTAAAGTAGGTCAAAAAGTTATTAATATTTCACTATACAAAAAAATCTTTAGGAAACTACCATTCTAAATATAGTGTTTATGACTTTGAATTTTTTTTCAAAACAGCACAAAGCATGCAATATTTATCACAAAATTCAAAATAACTTTTTCGTACCTACGAATAATTCAGTACATTAAGATCAATTGAATAAATCAATCACATTAAGAAGCCAAACCTCCAAATATATTTTTTAGATCTTTAAAATCGCTAGTTTCAGCGGATAAACATTATGCTATCAAAACAGCAGAAAATAATATTTAGCACATAATTTCAAATAGTTATAATTTTTTACGAATAATTCTAAACATTACTTTCAATTTAATAAATAAAAAACATTTAGGAACAAATCGTAATTTTTAGCTATTGCATTATGTAAAATTTCCATCAACTACTTTGCTGAAACAACACCTAAAACCTAATTCAAAAGAAATACTCTCTATAATCTATTTATAAAGATTATTTACAGAGGTCCATAAATACATATTGATTTTTTTTAATTCTATTTTTGTTTTAATATAGTAAATAGGATTTAAAAAATTTCAGGAAAGAGCAATACATTTTTATTTTAGAAGTAAGGATTTGATTCATCGGAAATAACAACGGTTTACATAATCACGCCGATATTTTTCTGAAGTTTTGAGCGTGGAATTTAAAAGAATATTTACATTATTATTTTCTGTACTATAGCGTGACGCCTTTTAGTTTTGTGTGAAAATTATTGAAACAATTTATAATGATAGTTATTTTCTCTGAAAAATAATTTTTAAATTTGTAGATTTTCGTAAGTGGGTCGGTCGTAGAAAAAATATACTGTATAGCTCAAGAGGATTATCTATATCTACTTTTGTTGCACAAACTACTAATTTGCAATGTTCTCCCTATCTAGAATGGACATGAAATATATTCGTTCAGTTGAACGCAGTAGCATACTCTTTCGTTTTGTAGTATGCACATAGATAAGCCAATATCCATGTGGGTGTAGAAGAAATTAATGTTTGATCTAAAAACAAACCCTGGATATTTAGTTACTTTTTCCAAATTAATGACGGCAAATTTTATAGAAATAGTATTATTTTATTTATTTTCGTCCATTTTTTAATTAGCTTTAATTATTTTATTTAGATAATTTTTGTACGGCCCGATTAAACACTGGTACATATTAGAAATACAGAAATTCGTATCATCTGCAAACATATGCCTTTAAAAGTCAAGTCTCCTAAATTTATCGTTGATGCATTAAAAACTCACTTAACGAATTTTGCAGAAAACATATTTGTACTACTGCTCAATATATCTATATTAAAATAAAAAATATTTCACGGGATTAAATAATAAAACTATATATTTAGATAATATAATTTATCCCGTTCTATTGGTACGCCAATGCAATTTATTTAACACTTCGTGGCGACTAACAAATGTGTCCTCAAATCCTCCACAGTCCTCCAGTATATCTCCGCCCTTACTTAACACCACACGTTTTTTCACTCCCGATTACCAAGTGGACTAATTTTATTGTTGGCATCCCAGCTATTCTATTTTATGAATGGTTATATCTCTGTTATCTCTGGAACGATACGATAGTTACCAGCGCGTTACATCATAAGGCAGTACCCAGCTAGCACATAACGTTGCCAAGCCTTTCGGCGATGTTGCATTAAGCGAACGTAATAACATTACTATAGAACGTAAATGCAACGTTCATGAGAAGTTGTTGAGGGAAATCAAAACCTCGCAAAACTTCTATTTGTTATTTTCCTAGTTAACCTACCTGTTACGTTAACACAAAGTAATAGAGTAATTCAAAAAGGAAAAACTTGTATTTCGTGCAAAACTTTTTTATTAATCAATGCAAAGCGCTTTCGGCTTATTTGCCATCATCAGTGCTCATCTACAAAAATTGTGGATGTAAACTTACAATTTAAAAAAATTTAAAAAAATATATTATAAAATCTGAATTAGACTTTTAAGTCAAAAGTTAAAATAGTATATATACAATTGTTTGAACAAATTAAAAATTACAAGAAACAGACAAAGTGACAAAAAAAAACCTGGTATTGGGAATAGTGAGTGTGGGATAAGCCCTTACAAATCAAATCTGATCTCCAAAAGCAAGTTAGCTTGTGTGGAATTAAGGAATCATGCCACCCTCACTATTCACAAAATTGAAAAAAGGTTAACAAATTAGTTAAAATTTAAAGAAATTTACAATTAGAGGGTGACTGTGGAAGATATATTGAAATTTGAATCTAGAATGCAATATTTGATATGAAGAAAGTGAAACGCAGAAGGCCAAAGTAAAAAACTGAAGGTTTTTTTATATATGTTTTATATACATTATAATTATGAAAAAGTCTACCTACTGTCCACAACGTATCCAACAAGTTCCTGGTCATCCTCACTCCCAAAATTATATATTTCGGGATGTTTACAACTTGCTAAATCATAATTTTATTAATATTAATATTTTCAAATTTAAATTTATCTCTTCATTTTGGTTCAAGTTGTTTAACCGTTTCCACATGACAGTGGTGACAAGCGACACTTGAAGACTTTGACTTGTCAAATGTCAACAGAAGGAGGTGCGTTCACCTCAGTGTGGAACATGTTTCTCCGAGTGTGATTCGAGTGATTGGAGGTTAACGGAGATCAAAATTTGTTATTGAATTTAAAGATTTAATTTATTGTTAGTTAAATTTAAATAAATGTTTAATATAAAAGATATTATTATTTTGATGTAAAGACAAAACAAAAATGTCACTCGCGTGATTCAGATGTGTCAGCCCGGGCTCTGCAGAACATTCTTTCAGAGAACCCAAGATGGCACAACTTCACTTTTTTAACCTCTGTGAGATGTGCTATAAAAGTCTTGCCATTGCGGACATTCGGTGGTTGCAGGGATATTAGGGTTATATTAAAAGTACATCGCATGTGAGCTTAAAGAGCCTAAAATTGCAGCTTATTAACGTAGATGGGATGTTTTTGTGCTAGCTGGGTACTTTTAACGAGGCGTTTTAGCCACTAATTTTGGCGAATTTTAAAAAATCATTAACAATACATTAAGAGTCGGGATTATATTAGGAATAGAGCTGTATTAACTTCTAAACATGACACATTTAAAATTATTTTTAATCAGAACAATACTTGCTTATTTTAGCTTTAAAAATAAAATAAAAAAAAAATGAAATATTTAAGGGTAATATAACAAGACCTAGATAAATAGTCGACTATTTTAAGTGTATCTAAATTTTGAGTTTTTGGTATCAAATTATAGAGACATAATTGTGTCATTAATAATCGGAATAGAGTCCGAGAGCCTTAACTTGATTATTCATGATAAAGTTATATCGAGACAAATTGCAAAATACACAAAAAATTTAGTAACAATAAAAATAGACTCTAATTTATTAAGGTCGAGTTATATTTTATAAGATTATTTCTGGAGCCCTAAATGTTACTTGAATTAATAAATACCTTAGATCAAAGAGACCGGAGATGTAACATTGCACATAGCGAATGTTGTCTATTCCAACCTTAAGTAACCCATCAATTAAAAATCTTTTTTTCGACGACGCCACCCGAATTGTGCCGGCAATTTTATTCTACGTTCATCTCTACGTGAGTTAATCATCATTGACCGCCGCAATTTAAAGTGATTTAGTTGTTCAA